CCCCAGACCCCTACCCGGACGCCGACCCCGCGCTACTTCACCTGGGACGAGGTGGCGCAGCGCTCCGGGCGCGAGAATGAGCGGTGGCTCGTGATCGACCGGAAGGTGTACAACATCAGCGAGTTCACCCGCCGGCACCCGGGGGGCTCCCGGGTCATCAGCCACTACGCGGGGCAGGATGCTACGGTGAGCGCTGCCGGACGCAGGCACGGGAGGAGGCGGGGCCGGGCGGCTGCCTCCGGAGGTTCCGTGCTCGAGGCAGGAAGTTTGGCACCCGCGGAGAAACTCCCAGCTAGCCCGGGGAAGAGCCAGTAGGCGCCGAGCGTCCCCGTGGCCCGCGACCCAGCACGGGATGCAAGGGCAGGACAATGGCTGTGAAAACTGGAATCAGGAGAGCGGAGGTGGAGGCCGGCAACGTGCCCACACAAACAAAGGACTGCGCCGCCCTGCGTGCGTTCCGTCTGCGGTGTCCAGATTTAGGCAGGGCCCAGAGCAGGACAAGTGGGGAGGAGAGCCAGGATGCAGGGTGCCGGGGACCGCGGTGCTGCTGAGGCCGGGGGGGGGGGGGGTCAGTGGCCGGGAGAGGGAGTCTCAACCTGTGTCTCGGTGGGTGGGAAGGGAGCGCAGCGGTGTCTAGACTGCGCGTGCAGGCTTGCCGAGCGGGAGCAGGAGAGGGAGGCAGTCTCGGGGATAGGGCGGAGGTGGAAAGTAATTTGGCGCCCGCTGCCTTAGGCACCCCTGCACAGTGAGGGAGGGGCCTCACCGGCCGGAGAGGACTGAAGACTAATGGTGCACAGCGGGTAATAGAGCGGCGTGCAGAAGTGGGGGCGGGGCGGGCATACACTTAGCAAGGACCCTCGGAGCGGTCCTCGCATCCCGTGGGGAGGTCACTCGGCCGCAGGCCAGCGGGGTGTCCAGCCATTCCTCGCGGCGGACAGCAGTTTGCATTCCTAGACCGTGGCTCGCGTCCTTCCTCCTTCGGGCCTCACTAAGAGGTCCGCGTGCCACCCAGCCCCAGCCCTGCCCTTCCCTTTCTAGACCACCTGCGCTCGGAGCTACGGCAACTGGCACCTCCTGCCATATTTGGAGACCCTGTGGGGCCCCGTGGAGGCTTTGCTTCAACGTGTCCCCTCCTCCCGACATCCTTTCGCCATCCCGAGGCCGGCGGTTCGACCCCTTCCGCTGTCCCCGCCCTCCGCCCTTGCCATCCCGGAGGGCGCCTGGGGCCGCCAGAGTTCTCGTTTTGTCGCAGCGGAGCATAGACGTCTTGGGCTGAGGGCCCGCCCCTCCCAGCGACGCGGGCGGCCGGGGGTGGCCAGGCCAGAACCTGCAGGGGGTCACCCCGAGTGACCACTGGCAAGCCCGGACGGCGGCGGAAGGCGAAGACGTGGGCTAGCGCATGCGCAGACGAAGCAGGCACCGACGCAGGGTCTTCCCACAGTGTGATTTGGGGCCCGGGCTGAATGGCCGGGCGGCGGAGTTGGCGATTGGTCCAGATTTGTGGTGCCACCGTCCACCGGCTCCGCCCCGGCTCCCGCCTCAGAGTGCCGGGGAAGGTTCCCCGTAAGGCCTGGGTCGGTCTGACCTACCCCACCTGAAGATTATCAAAAGTAGCCGCTCTGGGGCCGGCCGGGAGCGGGGTGGTCAGAGTCCTAGGGGAAACATGGAACCCTACCTGGAACGGCAGTCGGCAGAAGGGGTAGAAATGCAAAACTTCCCAGTTCGGGCGTAAGGAATCTAACCACATTTTATGAAGAACCCCTGCCTCAGAGAGGGTCTGTTAAAAGTCCCACAGAAAACCAACCAACCAACCAGAAATCTCGTAGCCCCACCCATCCCTTCTAGTCGCTTGTCGCTTATATCTAAATTCTTGTGCAAAAGCTGTCCCTAGACGTGCCTGGAGGAAAGGCCAGGCCAGAGAGGACTTTCTGTGGTCCCCCTACCTGCACTTCGTATTCCTTGGTGTGGTGCCTTTCTAGAACACATGTCGGGGTGCTCCTGAGCTGTGGACACCTGGGAAGGTCTAAGCACCCTCAAAGGGCAGCTGCCTGGAGGGAAGTGGTTTGAACTTGGATCCGGCCTCCTTGCTGGGTCAGGAGGATGGCCTCTGGTGTGAGCCTTCCAGGAGTCACAGGGGACCGTGCCGGCTTCCTAACCAGTCTGTCTTCTCCCTTTCCTTGCAGGATCCCTTTGTGGCGTTTCACATCAACAAGGGCCTTGTGAGGAAGTATATGAACTCTCTCCTGATCGGAGAACTGTCTCCAGAGCAGCCCAGCTTCGAGCCCACTAAAAATGTGAGACTCTGCTGTTGGGAGACCCTGTGGTTTGTTGAAGGGCAGGGGGTAGAGAAGGCAGGCCTCGCTAGGCTCACAGGTGACCACAGTCAGTAGCTCTTGCAAGGCTCGAGGCCCCCCGCTTCTCCCACGTTAGTCGTTGGGATGCAGGCCTAAGGCAGGAGGCGGAGCCTCGGAACATCTGGTTCTCGCAAGGCTACCGCCACCACCGCTACCATCACGGAGGCCTATCTGTCGAACCCTCACTGTGTCAGGCATCCCCTCGGCTAACCCTCACACACTTACAGAGGAAAAAAGCTGAGGCTCAGAGAGGTTGAACAAGGTGGCCGAGAGTCACCCTGTGAGCAAACGGCGGAGCAGACACTTGAACCGAGTCTGTTTACCTCCAAAGACCACAGGCTCCTCGGTGCGACGCCAGAGCGCTTTCTCCTGTCCTTTCCTCAGTTTGTGTATTTACCTAGGATTGTGGACTTCCTGCAACGATCTGGGGGTGGAGGGTCCTCGAGCCTAAGAGGGCCCTTGTTTCCAGCAATGTTGGAGTACAGCTGGGAAGAATAATAGCCCTTCCCTCTCTACTCTTCCACAGAAAGAGCTGATCTATGAGTTCCGGGAGCTGCAGGCCACCGTGGAGCAGATGGGGCTCATGAAGGCCAACCATGTCTTCTTCCTGCTGTACCTGCTGCACATCCTACTGCTGGATGTTGCTGCCTGGCTCACCCTTTGGGTCTTCGGGACATCCTTTGTGCCTTTCCTCCTGTGTGCGGTGCTGCTCAGCACGGCTCAAGTGAGAAGCCATCACTTGGCTTGTCAGGAGCACGGCCGTGCTCGGCATCCTCGGGGAAAGCTCTTTGTATGCCTCAGAAGGTCACGAGCCCGGCCCTGTGCCGGGGCAGCGCTGAGGATGTGGGGCAGAGTTAGGGCAGAGAAAGATTTTGTTGTCCGTGGCTTCTGTCTGCTCCTTGGCCACGTGTGCACCTTCATTTCCTCACTGCCTCCCCAACCCCTCCTCCACGGGCCCCCTTCTTTCTGTGGAATTTACCTGAAGCTTCGTAGTCCGGTTCTGCCATAGCCCAAGTGTGCCAAGAGCCCAGGTTCTGACTTCTCAGCAAAGCTTGGCTTTCTCCTCCCCACCACGTTGCCCAACATGCTAATAATGCTTGGGCCCTAATGGCAGAACCCATTTGCCGAGCCTTCTCGCCTCTGTCACCCTGTCCTGTTTCGTAGTCGCGATTCGGCACATCCTAGGTCCTAGAACTCCAGAGCTGGGGAAACTGAAGAACAGGGAGAAGATAGTGACTTGCCGCCACTCTCATGTGAGTTAGCGGCAGAGGCAGAGTTAGGAGCCTGACTCCTTCCGGGTTGTGCTCAGGGTACTGTGGCTGTCACAGGGGCTAGGGAGACGAAGGAAGGGGGTGACGCAGAGGAGCCGCTGAGGTCAGTGAGAGGGATGCCGGAACGGTGGGTTTTGCTCTCAGCGCCAACCTTTCTCGCTCAGGCTCAGGCTGGCTGGCTGCAGCATGACTTCGGGCACCTGTCCGTCTTCAGCACCTCTACTTGGAACCACCTGCTCCATCATTTCGTGATTGGCCACCTGAAGGTCAATGGGATGGGGAGGGGCTCTCGAAACTCCGGTTGATGAGGGGTTTCCTTGGGGGTTTGGGGAGAACGCTGGGCTTTCGGACTCACGGCCCTACTTTTCTGTAGGGCGCCCCCGCCAGTTGGTGGAACCACTTGCACTTCCAGCACCATGCCAAGCCCAACTGTTTCCGCAAAGACCCGGACATCAACATGCACCCGTTCTTTTTTGCCCTGGGGAAGATCCTCTCTGTGGAGGTGAGTGGAGGGATCGGTGGAACGGCCTTAGAGAATGGGAGCCAAGCAGAACGGAGGGCTCTGAGGGCAGTGCTCAGTGCGGTTAAGACGTTGGGGACAGCTGGCTGGCTGGCACCTGTGGGAGGCAGCAGGCAGTGAATAAGCTGCCGGGGGCAGAATCGTTTGTTCTCCCTGCTGAGTTCACGCCAGCAAGCAGTTAGTTGCATAAAGGCACCTCCTTCTACAGAGGAGCCAAAGGATGACTGGGAGGTTATGGCGCAAATCTCTGGTCATCCTTGAAGGTGATGGACGGCCCTCCTCGGGGTGTTTTTGGACACTCCTACCCCAGGCAGTCATCTTCCCGATCCCCGCCCCCCACCCCCGGCCCCGTGCACTTTGATATCCTCCCGTGCCTCAGTTTTCCCCATCCACAGGCTGTTTGAGTCTTCTTTGGTGCCCGGTGCCTGGAACATCCATCCATTGGCTGGTTCTTCCCACCCACCTGACCCCAGCCTGACTTCCGGGGCGGTTAGCGTTGGGTTTGAGTTCCCACCGGAGTTGTGAGCAAAAGTTGTAATGCAGTTGCTAAAGGATGAGCGTCAGTAGGAGGCTTTGAACAGCCAGCAGGGTTGTTTGCAAAATTCCTTTAAAACCTTTGTGCCAAGGCTCTCGGCCGCGGTCTGAGTTGCGCCAGGTTCCCTCCCTCTCTGTGTGCTATGTCAGCATGCCAAGAATTCAGCTGTTCAACACCTTTCCATTCCAAGCATGAGTGAGTCCAAGTAGCCCGGCGGCCCTCCCCTCTGGCTATGAGGAGGACAGTGTGGAGAGGCCTCACAGCACCGGCTGTCCTGACCCTGGGAGCCCCACGTTTGAGGCTGCCGCCTGTCCATAACATCCTAATTTTCCCACCCACTACACAGGGACTTGGTTTGCTACACATCCAGTACTATGTTCTGGTCAACAGTGGGCAGACGTTGACTCAGCTCTGGCCCCACCTGCCTCAAGTGGCTACTTCAAGAGCAATATGGGTTGTTAGGCAGAGCATGTGACTCTTGTCCACACTCGTATCGTCACCGTAGGGAGTTTAAAAAAAAAAAAAAGTGGGAGTTTAAGTGGAAGAGAACCTTCTCACACTACTGCCTCTATTGCATCTTGGTACTGGGGTTTTCAAGAAACTCCTATCGGCAGACACAAAAAATAGAAAATGATCGGGGCGCCTGGGTGGCTCAGTCGGTTGAGCATCTGACTTCAGCTCAGGTCATGATCTCATCGTCTGTGGGTTCGATCCCCGTGTCGGGCTCTGTGCTGACGGCTCAGAGCCTGGAGCCTGCTTCGGATTCTTTGTCTCCCTCTCTCCCTGCCCCTCCCCCACTCATGCTCTGTCTCTCTGTCAAAAACGAATAAACAGGGGCGCCTGGGTGGCTCAGTCGGTTACGCGTCCGACTTCGGCTCAGGTCACGATCTCGCGGTTCGTGGGTTCGAGCCCTGCATCGGGCTCTGTGCTAACAGCTCAGAGCCTGGAGCCCGTTTCGGATTCTGTGTTTCCTTCTCTCTCTCTGACCCTCCCCCGTTCATGCTCTGTCTCTGTCTCAAAAATAAATAAATGTTAAAAAAAAAAAACCAAAAAAACCGAATAAACATTAAAAAAAAACCTTAAAAAAAAATAGACGATGATCTAGGACCAATAGATACGTCTTCCCATCTAGTTACAAGGCTGAGGATGGGCAGCCTGTTAGTAAATGCCTTGGCCACAGGCTGCTTGGCATTTGGTTCCACCCCTCTGGGCGCAATTCACCTGGGTGCTAATCCCCACGTGCAGCGGACACCTCACCCTCAATACAAACTTTGTGGCTCTGAGAGTTGAAACACAGTAGGGCAGTTCTGAGGATCAGGATAGCATCTGATTGCCATTCAAGGAAGCAGCAGTGGATAGGGCTCCCATAACAGTTCTCAAATAGGAAGCCACTGTTCTTCCCACACGCGTCACCGCACAAGACAGGTGCCCCTCGTCTGGCTCGATGTTGCTTGGGACGGGGTGAGCTTCACCCCAACATCCAGTTCATCGACAAACCTTGTTAATACTGTCTCCAAAACACCCCAGATCCATTTCCCCATCTCCACTGTTTCCTGTCTCTCCCCACCACACACACACACACACACACACACACACACACACACACACACGCATCCATCTTGGAGCTGGGTTACCACTCCGACCTCATTGTTCTCCCTGCAACTGTACCCACTCCCACAGTTCATTCTCCCCTCCTCCCGGCAGAGCGAGCCTTTTATAGTGCAAAGCTGATGATACTACACCTGTTGAAAGCCTTCCAGTGGCCTTCCCATCACCACCAGAATAAAACCCACGCTGGTTACTGAGGTCTTACTGGGGCTTTCTGAGGTCCAGCGTGAATTGGCCATCCCGAGTTTTCTAGCCTTGTCAATCTGTCTTTCTCTGCCGTTGCTTGCTGTTCCCAGCCATACTGCCCTTTCTGGCTGTTCCCTCTGCTTTAAATGCTCTTCCCCTGAACTTTTGCTTTGCTGGCTCCTTATTCAGGTCTCAGTTCAGACGTCAGCACCTCAGAGAGACCACCTTAGCCAAAACACCGCCTCTGTCACTTTGTCGTATTTTCCTGTTTTTATTTTTATTTAAAAAAATTTTTTTTAAATGTTTGTTTATTTTTGAGAGAGCGAGCGCTAGAGGGGGAGGAGCAGAGAGAGGAGACACAGAATCCGAAGCAGGCTCCAGGCTCCGAGCCGTCAGTACAGAGCCTGATGCCGGGAACCCACAAATTGCGAGATCATGACCTCAGCTTAAGTCAGACATTTAACCGACTGAGCCACACAGGCGCCCGTTTTTATTTTTTTATTTTTATTTAAAAAGATGTGTATTTATTTATTTTTGAGAGAGAGAGAGAGAGAGCGCACATGCACACAAGCAGGGGAGGAACAGAGAGAGAGAGACACACACACACACACACACACACACACACACACACACACAGAATCCAAAGCAGGCCCCAGCCTCCCAGCTGTCAGCATAGAGCCTGATGCGGGATTCGAACCCACGAACTTTGAGATCATGAGCCAAAGTCAGATGCTTAACCGACTAAGCTGCTCAAGCACCCCATATTTTCCTGTTTTTAATCTGTAGTTACCTTGAGCTCTGTTCACAGATTTACCACCAGCTTCCTGTCCTCAGATTACAAGCCCCACAAGACTAGGAACTTTGTGTTGTTTGCCTCTGTATCCTCAGCACTTAAAACAGTGCCTGGCACGTAGTAGGTGCTCAGTAAATACTTGCTGAATTAATCAGTTAATATAGAAAGAATGTTTCATTTAGCAGAAGCACCTTGCACAGAATAAGCTGGTGAGAGATAAGAAGAAATGTTACTGTCAAAACAGTGGGGGGATGCAGGGAAAAGATGTGCTGGCATTCTGCTCGGGGGTAGAGCGCCACCTGTGCTCTGTGGTTATCTGGTTGCCAGAACTAACTGAGGCAGGCGGGGCAGAAGGAACCATCAAGGGAGTCAGCGGAGCTTTGCTGTCACGATCCTGGGTGCCCATGGCGAGAGGTTCCAGGCTGACTGACCCGGCAGCACCAGCCTGTCTCTTCGGCAGCTAGGCTTACAAAACAGTCACTACCCAGAAAAGCCTTGCCAGAACCTTCAGACTTGCCAAGGTCTTGGTATCCTTCCCACAAACATTTGCCCAACTTTCCTTAGCGTTCAAGGGATTTTATAAAGTTCTCATTGAAATCAAGACACCAAAAGAGAGGTGGATGGATGGATGCAGAGGGAATACATACCGACCTGTGTAGGGGTATAAATGGTTGTCCATGGAGGGTTTGAAGTCAAAAAAGTACCAGATGGGAGACAAGGGGGGGGGGGGCGACGCGGGGGGGCCGGGACCCCTTATGACAGAGGTGTCTTTGGAGAACGCGGGGAGTCCTGAGGACCCATAGACGCTGTCGTGCTCGTCCCTCATGTGGGCATGGGCCATTGAGCTGTGCACCGTGGTGTGGTGCACCTGGCTTATTACAGCCCAGGCCTTCACGTGCCAGGTGCTGGATGGAGGGAAGGCTGGGCCTGCTGGAGCCTTCCAGTAGCACCAAGCTGACGGCCCCTGGAATAGGCCTGAACTCCCGAGCAGGGAAAAGCCAAGGTCACCGCAGGAGGGGAACCGGGTGACTGGTTCTGTGGGTACTCATTTGCGTTTGCTTTTCTTCACAGCTTGGGAAACAGAAGAAAAAGTACATGCCATACAACCACCAGCACAAATACTTCTTCCTGAGTGAGTGACCTCCGGCGACACAGGGGGACTATCTCGGGATGGGGGTGCCAACGGGATTGTGGGGAAGAAATGACTCTGTGGAGGTTTACAGCATTTTGAGTAATGGCCGGGGGAAGTCCCGTGTCCCCAGCGGGTTCCTCCCTGCCTGGGAGCCAACTGTCATGTCACCTGAGCAGGGACAGCAGGCATTTGTGTTAGGGGCAGACTCGTTCCTCCAGTCCCACCCTGGCTTTCACAAGACAGTTGAATAGTCAGGTGCAATTGTCCCAATTAAACCTTAAACTTTATCTTAGACCTTGTGAAACAGACGCACGTCAAGGTGACTCAGTGGGGCACAGTCCTAACACCCCTGGGGATAAAAGGTAGACGTGGCTATGGGAGCGGAGGAGCAGTGACAGTGGAAAAGGAGGACATTTTCTGCAGCCCGTCTTAAGCTCTTTCTGAAGACTGCGCTATGTTCTTTGCTTTTAAAATCTCCATAATGCCTAAAACTGGAGTTTTAGAATTCCTTGGAGAATTCAGATTTTTAAAGGAAGGGCGGGGAGGATTCCATCGATCCTATTTTAGCTCTAAAGAACTTATCCTAAGTGCCTATTACGAACCTTCACTACTGGGGAAGAATGTTAGAATCCATGGCACATCGGGGTAGAGGAGCCGCGGGTGAGCCCTGTCACGCAGGGGGTTATAGGTAGGCATCAGGGCCCTGCAGAGAAGGGATACAGAAAAGGAAATGGGACAGCATATAGGATGGGGCCGCTTCTTCAACTCCCACTTTTAAGAGAAGCTTCTCTGCCCCTTCCCACCCCTGACCTCCAGGGCTTCGGGTTCAGTGGCATGGGCTTGTTTCCCTAGTCCAAGGGAGTGAGCTTTCAGCCTATGTAGCATCAGCAGGGCCCCCCACCCCCACCCCCAGCCCAGCACAGACACACACACACACACACACACTTACCTGCTCCTGTCCCTTCACCTGCATGGCAGAGCAGGCAACAACACGGGGCAGGTGATCGTGAGGCCAGGCAGGGGCAAGCCTGGGGCCGGGGCGCATGGGGAGAATTGGAGGTGCTCTTCTAAAAGCATGGCAGCGGAGCCAGGTTCCGTGCGTGGCACTCGAGTTTCCCAGCTGCCTTCTTCCACTGGAAAGGAATGCCACTCCCACCCCTCCCCATCCCGGCATCCTCTCGGGGGACTCTGCCTTCCTCAGACTCGCACTCATGCCCACCGCAGTGCCTGCCGGTTCCAATGGATTGAGGAATGCCAAGGCGGCTGGAAGGTGCCACAGGAACAGACGGCAGGGGGGCAGCCCCATGCCAGAGGCCCCCTCTCTGGCACTGAACTGCCCCCATGCTGCTCACACCTCCTCTCTGTCTTCATTTCCTCCCCAGTTGGGCCCCCAGCCTTGCTGCCTCTCTACTTCCAGTGGTATATTTTCTATTTTGTTTTCCAGCGGAAAAAGTGGGTGGTGAGTATCCATGGCCCCAGAGTCCCACATGCTTTGTCTTCAGTACCCTGATGGAGGGGAACGGGGTTCTCCAGAGGAAATCCCACTGTGACCTACCCCAGGCCTAATTTAGAGCAAAGTAATAGAACCAAGTATAGACCTTCTTGGTCTCTAGACGGGATGATCTGGGCTCAGCAGACGACCTGACTCCCAGTGCCCTCTTCCATCCTGCCGGCATCTCCTGAGGCTCTTGCACTCAGCGGAAAGCCAGGGGCCAGCCAGGCTGGGGGGGGGGGGGGGCGGGCAGGTGAGTACGAGATGGCACCTGCTCCCAGGAAATTTCTGATGAAACAGATGGTGTTGACCCCAAAGAGGTAGAAGCAGGAGGTTCTGAGATTCCAAAAGGCCCTGCTGCCTCTGGCTGGACGAGAGGCATTGGAAAAGGCTTTGCGAAGTCCCTTCTGGCTGGCCTTGGAGGAGGTGGGGTGGAGCAAGGAAGGACTCTGAGCAGAGAAGCCGGGAAGGGAGGGGCAAGTTTGGCCACTGGATACGTTGTGGACTCAAGTGTCGGGGGAGGACCGCGGTGCAGAAAAGTGGCCGGAGGTTCAATCAGGGCACTGGTGCAGACCGAGCCTTGGTCCCGGAAGATTCATTTAGCAGCATGATGAAGGGATAAAGAACTTAGGTGGGTTGGGAGGAGCCGGAGGCAGGGGGCCTTGGCGCCTGTGAGAAACAGGCGAGGAGGACTGCGGGCTGCCGCCAGGACCGGAAGGAAGGAGAGGCGGCACTAGATACGGCAGGACTGGGCAGCTGCGAGCAGCGGACAGGTGCTCCAGTCCGGGCACCTGGCACAACGGCTGTACGGTGCAAATAGGTGGAAGAGGAAGAGGAAGAAGTGCTTTGTGCCAGTCATAGTGCCCTCTACCTCTCCACGCAGGACTTGGCCTGGATGATCAGCTTCTACGCCCGCATATCCCTCACTTACGTGCCGTTGTTGGGACTGAAAGGCCTCCTGGGCCTTTTCTTCATGGTCAGGTAGTAGTTGATGGGGGGAGGGGGGCTGGCAAAGAAAAGGAGGTGTTTGGGAGTCACGGGTCTGGTGTGGGGGCCGTGCTGGGGCTTTAAGAGGCAGGGGGTGTTTCAGGGGTGGGCTTGGGAAGATGGCCAGGCTAGAGCAGTAATCTGGGGGAGAGGCAGGGCTCTGACTTGTCCCCTGCTTGTCTGTGCGCCATAATCCACCAGGTTCCTGGAAAGCAACTGGTTTGTGTGGGTCACACAGATGAACCACATCCCCATGCACATTGATCACGACCGGAACATGGACTGGGTCTCCACCCAGGTAAGGGACGGTCACTTGGAAGATACCTGGGAATAACACAACTAATAAACAGCGTGGGTGGGCACAGATGCAGGCTAGGGGGCGGGGGCGGCAACAGTTAAGTCCCCCAACAGCGCTGCCTCACGAGCTTGAAGCTTCTGTCCTGCCACCACATGGAGAAAGGAGTGACCAGGGACGGTCCCACACCCCCTCCTCTCAGCCAGCTCTACTTGGAAGAAGGCCAGCTCGGCCTTTACATCTGGCACGCAGAGTCATGCTCTCCCCTGCCCTCTTCTTCCAGCTCCAGGCGACATGCAATGTCCACAAGTCTGCCTTCAATGACTGGTTCAGTGGACATCTCAACTTCCAGATTGAGCACCAGTAAGTAGGGAGACCTGAGAAGCAGCGTCCTTGGGAGGGTCCGTGGGGGGAAGCAAGGAGGTGGGAACAGTGGAATAGGAGCCACTGACTGTCCCGTTCTCCCTGAAGTCTTTTCCCCATGATGCCTCGACACAATTACCATAAAGTGGCCCCCCTGGTGCAATCCCTGTGTGCCAAGCATGGCATAGAGTACCAGTCCAAGCCCCTGTTCTCAGCCTTCGCCGACATCGTCTAGTGAGTACCTGAGCCTGGAAAGATGGCTGGCAGGGGGGGAAGAGGGCGGGCAGTGGGGTTGGTGATGTGCAGGATAGGAGCAACAGGCAGGTGTCCCCGGTCCTCTGGAATGGAGGTCACCAAGACAAAGGCAGGGTGCCCTGCTGGTCTTGTTGGCCAAGTCAGGCCTTTGCCGTCAATGCCATGGCCCAAGCTCTTTCTTAGAAGCAAGGGGGAGGGAAGGGGCCATATGCCATGGGGATCAGCCTCTGTACCTCTGTAAGAGCCTCCCTATACGGTTTCTGTAGGGTGGTTTGGCTTACGGGCTTGGCTCTGCCCTCTCCCTCTCACTGCTTGTTCCCAACTTGCCCCCACAGCTCACTGAAGGAGTCTGGGCAGCTCTGGCTAGATGCCTACCTTCACCAGTAACGACTGGCACTCCTCCCCGCACCTGGAAGAGATGTCTGTCTTCACCGATAACACCAGCCCACCGGGAAGGGGAGTCTGCACCAAAGCAGAGGGGAGCTTATGGGACAATGCCACTATAATTCTAATATTCAAAGGGGGTGGGTTTGAGGAGACAAAGGCTCTGACTCAAACCCCCCTCCCCTTTATCTTCCAGGCACAGATTTAAGACCCAAAGGGGTAGGGGACCGTGCATGCCTTCTGGAAGGAGCGATGGGCCTGATGGGGCAGAGATGTGACAGTTTTGTTTCCTTTTTCTAGTTTGGCAGATGCAGATGGTTGGTGAGCAAAGAAGGAGGTCCAAGGGTGTTGGAAGACTAGGGAGGACCTATTGAGCCCAGAGATCAGGAAGAGAATGAGCATAAAAATTCCATCCAGGGGGTGCCTGGGTGGCTCAGTCGGTTAAGCAGCAGACTCTTGACTTTGCCTCAGGTCGCAATCTCACGGTTCCTGAGTTCAAGCCCCGGATTGGGGCTCTGCATTGACAGCACAGAGCCTGCTTGGGATTCTCTCTCTCTCTTTCTCTCTCTCTCTCTCTCTCTCTCTCTCTGCTCCTCCCCCGCTCATGTTCTCTCTCTCTCTGCTCCTCCCCTGCTCACGTTCTCTCTCTCTCTCACTCACTCTCAAAATAAACAAGTAAACATTAAAATAGACAAATATATAAAATTCCAGCCAGGAAAGGGGTGAGCCCATCTCACTGGTCCGCTTCTCAGCGCCTTCACCCTCACATGCAAACCTCAGAGGTTCTCAGGCTGGTGGGAGACAGAGCAGCTGAACCTTCCGAGCAAGATTTAGAAAGGAAGGGTTAGTGCTTAGATTTGAGGTCTGGCATAGCACACTGGGAGGCTCAGCCTACTCTAGGGCTAGGGGGGACCTAGGTCTGCCTCAGGCTGCTGGAGAAGCACTTTTCCCACTTGTAGAAGTGGGCAGGGCAAAGGCCAGGGCTGTGGTAATGGAAACAACTGACTTTAAAGGATCCTGGCCCTACTGGTTTTGAGCTCATGGTCCATCCAGGGCACCAGGGAGCAGTAGGTCCTAGGTCTTGCCAAAACAGCAGAAAGAGTTGCTGGCCACTCGGAATCCCTTTACCTCGGGTTCATCTCTTGCAACCACCACCCAAGGAACAGGACACTTCTAGGATGGGGAGTCCATTTCTTGATCCATAAGCAAGTGACCACATGGGGCAACTGAATCTTCTCCCTTTGAAACAAATGAGGGCCCCCAGGGGTTTCCCTCTGCCTTCCTACCTGTAATTAATTCCAAGTTTAATAAAGTAGTTAGCACAAGTGGACCACATTGGGAGACCCTGAATTACCAGTCACCAGGAAACCACAGATTGTAGTCCTAAAGAATAGAAGGGCCGTAAGACATTGTCTACAACCTAACTTATGTTACAGTATTCCTTCTGAGTAGGAACAGTGAATTAAATACAATCACTTCATAGTTCTAAACCAGAGATAGGAAGATAAAAAAAACACAGAAGTTTTGTGAGCTATCAACCCTCAGCCGTTCAAGCATCCTTCCCAGCCGGAGACCAGGCAGGAATTTAGGACAATCTCTTTAAGAAGCCCACCAGTGTAATTCCGAAATACAATTTTTAAATCTGGTTCTTAACCGTTTAACCCATCTCTAGACTGAACAAAGGAATGTACTCAGGAGCCTGCCTTAATTGCCAGGGTTTGTCGATCCGCCTTCAACACCTTCCCTCCTCACATCCACACCTTCCAGTGCCGACGGGGGTGGGGGGATTAGTTGCCTGTTCAACAGCATCTACTCTAAGCGCATTGAGCATTGTGGATACGGAGAGGAGGAAACTTCAAAGTAGAAGGAAAAAGAGCCCTAGGAGAGTCCACATTTAGTTTTAGGAGAGAATAAAGATCATCTTAAGGCAAGTTGGGATGGGGTTCGAGGTACCACCTATGGAAGGGCTGTTGGGATCCCTCGAGAGGTGTGTCAAAACAAAGATTAAAGAAGCAACAAACATGGGGAGGACAGGTTGCCAGAGCATACTCAGATCTTTTCCATTTGGCCAGAACCTGCTTTAAAACAGCCTGGGTCAAAACGTGAGAAGTAGAATTGAAACGTTCTACTTTCGTTGGCTTCCTCACTCCAGAGTAGGTACTGACCCTTCCCTACCCCCTGGTTCCCTGCTACCTAGGGTTTCAGCTTGGGGTCACCAGCCTATCGAGCCATCTGGCTGCCAAGCTGAGCAAATCCAGTGATGCTTACTGAGCCAAGGCCGGGCCCTCGAAGCACTTCAACCACCGTGGCCTTCTCTCCTTAACCTAGACCGGTGTGGTCTCACGTGGCCACAGAGGGACACCCCAGCGACAAAAGGCTTAGACCGTTACAACAGTAACAGGAGTCCTTTTAAATCCAAGCAGTGACACGAGAAAACAGGCTCAAAGACCATACAGGTCACCGCCAGTCACAGACTGGCAAAACTAACCTTTGAACTCCCGTGTTCTAGAGTTCCGGCCTCTATGTGCATCTTTGTTTCTTTAATTAGGCCGACATCCGTGTCCTTTGTGTTGATGTTACTACATCTCCAAGAAGTAAAGCTGAAAAATAAAGTTAATTTTGACCACCTGAAGGCTGTAGTCACTTGTAATCCACGAAGCTCTTGTCTGTCTGTCAATGGGAGAATTTAGGCCTGTGCTGTAAGGTACCACCTACCTCTGGCTCTTGCTGACCAGGAGTTCCCAGATTCCCCTTTCCACAAGGCCTTTGGGCAGAACACCAGGATCCTCCGAAAAACAAGGCACGGGTGGGCTATGGCAAGGAAAAGGAAAGCCAGGCCCTCCTCGTGACCCCCTGTGTTCAAATGCTTGACTGGCCAGACACACTAGGCAGGCGTCCCATGCTTCTGTCATGAGGCAACACCCCGGCCCTTTTGAACGTTCTAGTCTCAGTATGGGTAGTCCCTATTAGTCTCCTTTCTGCCCAAATCCTTCTCTGCTGGCACAATGCCTTTTTAACCTCAATGCTATTACAACAGCTCTCTTTTTGAGCAAGAGTATTAGACGTGCTAGGTAAAAATTTGTAGAACTGGTTTCCCCTGCAGTGTGCGGTGGTTAAACCTTTTAGAAAAGACCAGACAACTGGAACTGAAAACACAAGAGGAAAAACCACTCTGCATGTTTTGACTGCCACAGGATACAAGCCCTTAACTACTGCACCGAGGTGATCAGGTGATTGCTCCGTAGGAAGTCTGAAGTCTTTCCGCCTCTGGGCCCCATCACCAGAACCACGGGCTTAGCCGTCAAATTCCTTGGGGCTCTTGTTACTTGTGTGGCGTGGGCCAATCGGAGAAAATCCGTTTCAACCGCTGGAGACAGCAGTGAACAAAACTACGATCCGTGCCCTCAGAGTAGAACCTTCCGTCTATACCAGTGGTTTTCAGGGTCCCATCGTCACGGGAACAGCACTGCTGGGGAGACTATATCCCGCTCCTGCTTCAACTGGAGCTCATATCCTGAGATTCCATGTAAGATTTCATTTGAAAAACCGGTTGCTCCATGAGAAATTTTGAAAACCACCAGCCTCTAGTCTTCTACCCGCTTAATCTGTTGGAACACAGGCAGCTTAGATTTCCGGCTGCTTAAGTGTCCCTGGTAACTTTAAACAGCAGTGATAGGAATGCTAAAAAAGGAGAAACTCAAACAGGACAGCGCCTTGCCAAGTTTTATCAGGATTATAACTTTTCAAACATTCCATCTTTATGGGAAACAGCCACCTGAATTTGATGTCACAAGAGGAGCGAGAAAGTGACTTTTGAAGTGCGGTTTTGAACAATTTATAAACCGGTAGAATAAATGCTCGGATGCCGTGAAGCAGTTGATCTAAATTGTGAGGCTTTCTCCGAGAAGCTCCTTTATCCCACACAGCAGGTGGAAAACTAGGAACCCATTCGATTTATTAAAACTTGTTTCCCAGCAAGTTAAACTAGGCATCCACCTACAAATGGCTGATGTACTGCCAAGGCCACTTTGGTCATTCTGTGAAGCGTGGCGCCATCTTGTGGCCACTCTCAAACCTCTTGTAACAAGGATACGTCGACTGTTCTCTTGGGAGTGAAAAGAACCTTACCTACTTCCTGAAGCCTGGGGGCACTTATGATGTTTGGGTTTTTTTTTTTTTAATGTTTATTTATATGAGAGAGAGAGAAAGAGAGACAGTGCGTAGGTGGGGGTGGGGCAGAGAGAGAGACACAGAATCCGAACCAGGCTCTGAGCTGTCAGCACAGAGGACACAGGGCTCGAACCCACAAGATGCGAGATCATAACCTGAGCCGAAGTCGGATGCTCAACTGACTGAGCCACCCAGGCGCCCCTCAAGGTGTTTTCAAATGTTCTCAAAGAACACGACATTCTGGCTACTTTTCTAATTTTATTGACTCTTTTTTCACACGTTTAAAACAAAACCAGCACGTGAAAATAGCATCTCATCCCCAAGTCTCAATTCCATTGGCTGCCTCAGAGAAGCCATTAGAATTTGGCCCATCTTATGCCTCAAAATAAGATATGCCACTGTGAAGACTCAAGTTACATAGCAAGTTCAAGTTTCTGCGCACCCCAGGACACACAGCCAGTGGTCGGACCCTTGTGGCCAACTCCAGGGACTCCAGCTGTCCGCCTGTCTCATGTCTCAGGAGCTCTCCCCGTCTGAGAAGACTGGGTCTTCCTGATGGCTGTCCTACAGGGCTGGTCAAGGCTGAGCCAGAGAGAAATACAGCTGGGTTCCACCACCCCTTCCCATCAGCCACCAGTTGGGCCAGTCAGGAAATCATTTTTATACAGTCTTCCATCTCTACCATTTATCCCCCCCTCCTTCTTCAAGACCTGTTGCTATCCCTTTCATTTAACAATAGACTCAGTGTCCGTTAAATTGCCTGAGAGGTGTTTGGAGCCTGACATACTTTCCTGAGCTAAAACAAGAAGAAAACAAGATACCTCTGTGGCCTTCCTGCCACCAGATCAAGTACAAAAGGGAAAGCACTACTGAGACGGGCAGAGCTAGAGAAGCAATGCGAGCCCCTCCCTGCCCCCACAGAGCTCTCTCTCGTGCTAGCATTTGAGGGCACATGAAGGCAGGTGTTCTGGGGCCGGGGAGGCAAGAGGGGAAACTCCTTTATTTTCCCCGTTTGAACTTCCCTCCTGCCCCGGTCTTTGCCTTCTTCTTAGCAGACCCCTTGGGCTCTGGCTCCTTGCGCTTAGCTGAGGAGAGCGAGCCAGTCACCTTGAAGAAATCATCCAGGCGGCCCTGGGTGCTGCCCTGGCGGCTCTTGCTCAGCCGCCTGACCCCACTGCGGATCCGCTCCTCCGAGAACTGCTTTTCACCACACATGAACTTGACGAGCTCTTCCTCATTCGGCTCGCTCCACTTCAGCTCCACAGAGTCTGGGTC